CGAAAAGAAGACATAAAAGTTCCTTAGAAGCCATTGTCTTCTCACAATTTCAATTTGTGTATTAATAACAAATATTAATAATTATTAATAATTAATAACACGGGCACTGGGGTAGGACAGGTTGGACCTCAGCCTACCACGGGGACATGGACGACCCCGCCCACCAGAGTCTGGGGTGACACCTTTGGCAAGTGTTTACAGCCCCGCAGCCACCCCTGCTAGGGTTACAGCACAGGGCAGGTAGAGCTCGCTAGCCTGGAAAGGCAGTTTACCTAGGGGAAGGAAAACCCTTATCCCAAACCTCTGCTGCCTTGCGGCTATATCCACACATGGAAAAGGCTTCAGGAGTAAACCTCGAGGAAAAATCCGGAGTTGGAGTCCCTAAGGCAGCTCGAAGTTGAATTCAACCCGTGCTGGCAGCTCCTGCGACGGCACTGGTCCCAAATTGTAACGACCTTGTTGTTCCTTTGGCCCCATCAGTGACGTGGAGAGGGGAACATGTTACATGGGCAACAGCTTGTTCTCCATAAAACACTGCCCAGGCTAGCATCCGCCCACACTACACACCAACACACCTCGCACTACACCTGGAGAGGACACTCCAGCTACGCCCATGACGTAGACACAACACGGAGAATGGCAGTTTACCGGTGATAAGCTACTGCTCGATTGGCGTAGAGTGAAGCGCCAGGGGTCGTTCTCGTCGGTGGGAGGGATCTTCGAATCCCACTGGACAGCTACCGCCCGCCTCAAGCTGGGCAGCCCCCAGCCAATAAGGTGCTGTCCCGCCACGGTTTGCTTTCTTCATTGGGTGCATGGAGATTAGGAGATATCCAACAGGCAGACTGCAAACTTTGCACCAGGCAATAACAAAAATCATCAAAAGAAACCAGTCCTGAAACTAGGCTGCTGGAACGTTAGAACAATGCTGACGGGCCTCTCAGAAGACCTTCAGGACGTCAGCGACTCCAGGAAAACAGCCATCATTAACGACGAACTTAGGAGGCTTAACGTGGACATTGCCACCTTACAAGAAACACGACTTGCAGACTCTGGAAGACTGAAGGAGAAAGACTACACCTTCTTCTGGCAGGGGAAAAGCCCCAATGTACCGCGTCAACATGGGGTGGGCTTTGCAGTGAAGAACAACCTGCTGAACATGGTAAAGCCAGGCAACAGCGGCTCAGAGCGACTCCTCACCCTCTGCCTGAACACCACGGCAGGCCCTGTAACTCTCGTCAGCGTGTATGCTCCAACACTCTCTGCTACACCTGAAATTAAAGACGAGTTTTATGATCAGCTCACAGCCACGATCAGCAACATCCCAAACAAAGAACAACTTATCCTTCTGGGCGACTTCAACGCCAGAGTAGGAGCTGATCAAAGATCATGGCCTTCTTGCCTTGGAAAGTTTGGCATAGGCAAGATGAACGACAATGGCCAGAGACTGCTCGAGCTATGCACCTATCACAAACTCTGCATAGCCAACTCTTTCTTCAAGACCAAACCTCAGCACAAGGTCTCTTGGAGACACCCGCGCTCAAAGCAGTGGCATCAGCTGGACCTTATCCTTGTCAGACGAACCGCTATTAAGAACGTCCTCCACACACGCTCTTACCACAGCGCGGACTGTGACACAGACCACTCCCTTGGTGTGTTGCAAGGTCAGGCTCCATCCGAAAAGGTTCCACCGTGGCAAGAAGAAAGGGAGCCCTCGTATTGATGTCACTAAGTTGAGCCAGCCTGATCTTAAAGAGCAATTTGCTGAGAGATTTGAGAATCATCTAGCAACATTACAGTCAGGGGACTCCGCAACTGAGAAGTGGACCACCTTACGGGATACAATGCACCGCACTGCCTTGGCCACCTTTGGAAAAAGTACCTCGAAATCGCATGACTGGTTCAAAGCTAAATCCGCTGTGATGACCCCCATCATAGAAGCAAAGCGTGCCGCTCTAACGGAATACAAGCGATTACCCAGCGAGAAAAATCTTCAGATTCTCCGAGCTATAAGGAACAAAGTCAAACACACTGCAAGACGCTGTGCCAACGACTACTGGACCGAACTCAGCGAAGCCATCCAGACTGCAGCAATTACTGGGAACATAAGAGGGATGTATGAAGGCATCAAAACATCAATAGGTCCAATCCAGAACAAGACAGCTCCCCTTAAATCCACCTCAGGGGAAGCCATCACAGACAAGGGACAACAGATGGAGAGATGGGTGGAACACTACTCTGATCTCTATTCAAGACAGAATGTAGTAACATCATCAGCCCTTGATGCCATAAAATGCTTACCTGTAATGGAAGAGCTTGACAACGAACCCACTAATGGCGAACTCAGCAAGGCTATCAACAGCTTGGCCTCAAGGAAAGCTCCAGGCAGTGACGGGATCCCCCCTGACCTGATCAAACACTGCAAGACTACACTATTACAGCCTTTACATAATGTCCTATGTGCGTGCTGGAAAGAAGGGGCCGTACCACAAGACATGAG